TTTTGACTATGGTGTTCATTTTTAAAGTAGTAAACGGTTTGCTGCCTCGATATTTGTGTGATCGGATTGAAAGAGGAAGTGATTTTCATAGATATAACATTAGAAACGCGGATGAAGTAAGAACACCACATCTTTTGAATAATGCTTCACAAAATTCATTATTTTTCAAAGGTGTAAATGTTTTCAATTCGATGCCTAGACACATCAAGCGTGCAACTACACTTACAGAATTCAAGAGACGCTGCATTTCACATGTAAAAGCTGTTTATTGAGCAGTTAAATTTTTATGAATGGATAAATCATGTATCTTGACAAAGTTATCTCTAACGGATTATTTTGTATGGAGACTGTCATAAAGACATTTTAGTAATTTGTGTAGCATATACAGAAAACTACATTGTTTGCCTCGATGGTGATGATGGATTTTAAGTTTTTTGATTTTGTAGTAGTAATAGTAAAAATAGCTTTGAGTAGTCTACAATGGTTTGAGCCTCGCGCGTGGAATACAGGTATAAATGACTAATACGTGGAAATTGTGGCAAAAGCCTTAAATTAGTAAAGGGTTGGCTGAAAGTCGTTTCCTTGGATATAGTCCTAGCACTGCGGAAGCTTAAACGTGTAAATCCCAGGTCACGTGTAAATGGAAGTATTGTCGAGGACTATACTTGGACTTTTGATAACTAGCTACACCTTTGAATGTTTTTGGTTGATGCCTATAGCATATTTAACAGGACATTTATATCTGTAATTGTAACCAGCTTGATTTTGTTTCCAAACCTGGTTAAAATGTTTATATTTAATTATCTTAAAGATAACTCGTCCAGCTCAAACCTTTGTAGGGGTTAGAGGTGGGACCATCATCATCATTCAGAAGAGTTGTTCAAAAAGTCAAAACAAACAACTTTGGATAAAAAAACTGTTTTCGCTAAGATGCTTCTAAGAGGTGGCGCCACCTGAACGGCGTGATCTAGAACTAACATATTGACGTCCTTAGATAGTCCTTAACCACTTGAACAACTTTGCTAAAGACACCAAACCTCTAAGATGCAGGGGTGGCGCGCTACGATTTTTGCCAACAAAAGAACCATTCTGCCCCTATGTGGAACGGGGGCGCAAGTTTCCGCGTAAGTTGCTTGATTATATTACTGGTTTCCAAGCAACCCCTGCTGCGTTTTCCTTCACAATAGATGTTCCTGAAACTTACAAGCATGTGCTAGTTTGGGAAGACCGAGACGAGTGGCTGCAAGCCATTCAAGACGAGTCGCAGTTAATGGAGAAAAATCAGGTGTGGAAGATGGTACCATGCCCCGCTAACGTGAAGCCATTAAAAACCAAGTGGGTTTTCCGGATTTAGGAGGACGATGACGGACGGATAGTACGGTACAAGGCCCGACTTGTCGCGAAGGGGTTTCTGCAGAAACCAGGACTGAACTATGAAGAGACGTGGCTAAGCTTGCGACGATTAGAATCATCTGTTACCGTTGGGACATAATATTCCTTGTTTGTCAGTCAAAAAGTAGTTCAATTGTAAAACCGTTATTGTTGCTAAGTGTTTATTGTTTATTTATTTACATATTGAATATTATATGCAGTTATATTAAATAATTCATAAATAAAAGCCTAGCTAGGATTAAATTAATTGCATGCACACTCAAGAAACAAATTTAAATTGATAACCTAAGAACATAATTTGTTACACTACACTACACGAAAACCGATACCCTTGGGAAAAGCTGATGCAGAGCTAAATTACCACAGAGGAGGCAAAGGACTACGATGAAAAATGGTATATCTGAAAGGGAGAGGCTACTGGTGGTCCTATTAGTGATGGAATGTTCTTTTCCAAGTAACACCTCAAGTGAGAAACATCTCGAAACTAGACCAGTTGTGCACAGTGAAGTGGAAAAGTGACTATAATCTCAATTTATATTGTTAAATTGGAGAAAGTCGAACAAGGTAGGCCTAATCACCCATAAAACGATTATGGACCCCGGAACCCAAAACCAGTAGTGCTCTATGGTAACACCTGCCCCCTTTGATAGTTCCCTCACCCAACCAGGACCCATTGTATTCCGGTTGAAGTCGTTCCGTTACCGGTTAGCTAAGGCGCTGACCTGGAATAAAAGTCCCGTGCGAGGTGCGTAGCCAAACCCAAACCTCGACCAGCCAAAGGTCCATTGTGATCGCAGGTTCACGAATAGACCAACAGCCCACGTGGCCTCCGTCCGCAGAGGTTAGGCCAGGGGTACCGACGCCGTCGTATCCAGCCAGCAGATCAACGAACGCCGCCGATCAGGTGCTTTTCGGTCCGCATGACCAACAACCGATCGCGAACCTAAGACGTCCCACCACGCTCTTCTGCAGCAGCAGCCGGCCGGCCCATCATACCCACAAACACACATACCATTGCTGTAAGTCAGAATAAAAATGTGTTTAACTTTAGTTTGCGTTGTGTAGTTTTTTTATCTGGTGACTGGACTCTTGTTAAGCAGATTCCCTTGATAAAAGCCGACCCTGAGCGCAAAAGTGCCTCAAGCTCGAGCTTGCCGGGAGCAATCAAAAGAGGCCTTGAGAGCCCACCTTCAATGGTCCCCGTGGCTAGACCAGGGATCGAAGGCATTCTAGGAGGGTCCGTCTGATCCCCTATTAACACATCCTTGCGGTTGGTGTTCACGAAGACTTTTTCTTTCAACAGATGGATGTAAAGACGGCCTTTCTTCACGGCGAGCTGAAGGAATCAATCTTTATTTGTCGTCCAGACGGTACGAAGTCAGCACCAGGGATGGCATGCAAGCTACAAAAGTCGCTTTATGGACTTAAGCAATCACCACGGTGTTGGAATCCGAACTTCACTAGCCAGATCTAGAAACAGGGCTTTGGACGATCGAAGAGAGACTACTGCTTGTACGTCAGGTACCAGGAGAGGGACGAGCTTTATATCATCCTGTACGTCGATGATCTTCTGATTGCGGGAAGAAGTTTGGACACCATCAACAAGCTAAACATGAAGCTGTCTACTGTTTTTGAGATGACCGATTGCGAAGAATTGCGACACTTTCTTGGTATACAAAAATAAAAGCAATAATTATAATAAAACAACGAAATTAAAATAATTTTTACAGTTGAATTTCGAGTACAATAAAATTTATTGTTAAATTGTTGTACGGAAGACAAAGTAAAATTCGGTTTTTTAACGAAACAATGCTCATTCGAGTTCGGGACATTTTTGCATGCAGTAGCAATAGTTTACGCGCTCGGGATATCGACGTTATTTGGTGGTTTTTCGCGGTGTTTTCTCTCCCAAAAGCCATCCGTCGCTTTGTGGCTAGTAAAAGCTTGTAATATACGTGAAAACCCGACCTTGATCGGTGGAAAATAGCGGGAATAAAGTGCGATTAAAGTGTCTCTACTCCGTGGCAACGGCAAAGAACAGCCTGCCATCATACGGTGTTATAACGCGTGAGTATACCGGTGCTATTGTACTGCTGCTGGTGTACAGTGGTCAGTGAAAAGATTCTTGCCGTGCCGGTCGCCTTTACTGTGTTGTGGTACCAACGGCCGCGTGCTTGCAGTGCTATCGGTGTATTTTACCTACCTACTGGCTGCTGTGTGGTGGGCCCATTGAAGCACTGTCTGCTGGCCAGTCGAAGATAGTAGTGTGGTGACCCGAGTAGCAGGAGGTGTGAAAGACCGAACAAACTGATTTTTTTGGTCAAGACACCAGGCCAGGTTTAGGAGCCATATCGTCGAGTGAATTTGGAGCGTTGACGTACCTGCAGTTGACAAGTAAGGACGAGAATACCCCTCTGCCGGATCCCTTCATTGTGGGGAAGTCGGTTGAGAGAGCTGCTAATGGACCTATTGAAGGAGCTTCGACTCAAGCGCAAGGAACCCGGTACACGCTTAAGGTCAGAAACCCGGTTCAAGTTGACAAGTTGCTGAAGTTGACTACCCTTATGGATGAAACGGAGGTGGTTGTTCAGTTGCATCCGAATCTGAACGTGAGCCGTTGTGTCGTATCCTGTTACGAGGCGATCCGTAAGGAGGAGAAGGATGTCCTGCGTGGTCTCATCAGCCAAGGGGTCATCCAAGTCCAACGGATTACTCGAAGGAAGAACGGTAGGCCGGTGAATACGTCCGCCTTGATCCTAACATTCAACAGGTGCAACTACCCGTCGCAAGTCAAAATTGGTGTACTTCGAGTCTCTACCCGTCCATATTATCCGAATCCTCTTCTTTGTTACGGTTGCGTTCGCTATGGTCATCCTCGTGCACGTTGTCCTGGCCCGAAACGATGCCTGAATTGCTCTGCCGAGCATGAGCTGTCGGAGGATGCTGAATGTGAAGCTGCTGCTCACTGCATCAACTGCGGTGGACCCCATCGTCCGAATAATCGACAATGTCCGGTCTACAAGAAGGAGGTGGATGTTATCCGGATGAAGGTGGATAAGAACCTGACGTACCCCGAAGCCCGCAAGCGAATTGAATCAGGGTTAGAGAATTACGCCGCAGCTGCAGCCCAGAAGACTGCCAACCGCAAGAAGCTGGAGGAACTCGAAAAGAAGATGCAGGAGAAGGATAACCAAAAAACGCAGCTGCTTGAGGCGATGAAGAAAAAGGACGAGAAGATCGATAAGCTGTTGGCCCACATCAGGATGATGACCACACGACAAACTCAACAGTCGCAATCGCAGCAGAACACATCAATGCCGCCACCGCCTGCCCCGATTCAACGAAGCCAATCCGCCGGAAGGAAGCCTGCCGAGTCTCAGGTAGCCGGAACATCAATGCAGCTCAGGACCAGATCGCCAACGTCAACGGACCCCCGTGACAGCAAGAAGAAGAAAAGGCACAACAGAAGTAACAACAGCTCGCCTGGACGCCAAAGCCCAGCGTTGAAGAAACCCGCAGAAGAAGAAGATACAGCCGATCAGGACTCCATAGAAATCGATGAGGTGTTTGAGATCGAAGAAACACCCGCTAACCAGCATCTTCGATAAGGAAAACTCCTCCGTACGTTTAACACCGACCAGCAATTCATACCTGACAAGCGAACCGGACAGCAACAACGATCGACTTGAAGGGAGGGAAAGTGTAGTACCCCCTTCACTCTCACTGGAGAGAGCGCAGCAGGCCGGAGGACCCGTCCGGGACGTCTTACCCCAACTCGTTGATGGATAATCCCGCTCTGCGGTCGATTATGAAGCGATAGAACAATATACCACCTACCCTACCATAATACCACCTCTTTTTTACCCACAACAATCGAAAATTCGCCAGCCAATACAAGCGCTGACAACGAAGGTAATCGGTTTGGAAGTGAGAAAAGTGAAGTACTCCTTCCAACGCAAGTACAGCAGGCTGAAAGAACCATCCGGGACGTCTTTCTCCACCCCGTTGATGGTGAATTCACCGCTGTAGCCGATGGAAACTACGACACAACCACGACACTGGAAACTTGGGATAGACGGCAGGGGGAAGGTGTATCCCTTCTTTGCTCTGGCCGCCGCCCTACACGAGCAACCAAAATCAATAGCACCCCGTCACTCCGAGCTCTTCCATGGATTTCAACGCCTGACAGCACCGTAGCAAGCAACGATACTCCCCAGTGTCGGCTGTTGCCGGCAATTTGGGAAGAAATCGTGAAGAAGTTTCGGCAACGGCTAACACTGTGGGGCAAGACGTCCCACAGGTCACAGTCCCATCACGATACAACCGCGAAAAGGTACTGCCGTGCCCAATATCTTTACAGATCCCCACAGACATCCCCACCAGAGCTATATCCCGGAGAAAGTCCTTCAAGTACTCGTCGAACAAATATTACACAAAGTGCTTCCCCAGTGCCGGCTGTTGTCGGTATTGGAAAAACTAGTGTAATGGTTTCGACGGCAGCCGGCACTGTGGGGCCAAGCGTCCCACAGGCAAGTTCTGAATCGATAGAGTTACCAGCACCGATTACTGCGGCACCTTGCACTTTTACAGGCGACCCGCCACCGACACGAAGACCATCACTATCCTCATCGTCGTCCATCACACGGTCAGCTAGTATCAGTTACCACGGTGGCTGCTTCGCACTTCAGTGGAATATTCGTGGGCTCAGGGGCAACATCAGCGAACTGAAACTCCTCATAGCTGAGCTCGAACCCTGCATCATTGCACTCCAGGAGACCAAGGTGAATCAGACTGTCGCACCACAAGACTACATCGGCAAGAACTACACGCTACTGTTGGAATCCAATAACACGCACTACTGGCAACACGGGGTTGGTCTTGCTGTCCGAGAAGGCATACCTTTCGAGCGACTGCAAGTAGACACCTCCCTAAACCTCGTCGCTGTGCGCATCCACACACCGATTCAGATAACTGTAGTCTCTATCTACGTCCCGCCGAGCTCAACACAGTGTCAGGATGCGTTGAGTGATCTACTCGACCGACTGGAACGTCCTATCATGTTTCTGGGGGATTTCAACGCTCATCATCTAGCATTTTTTTTTTTTTTTTTTTTTTTTTTTTTTTTTTTTTTTTTTTTTTTTTTTTTATACAGGGGGGAATCTGCTCACAGACACCTGAGAAGGAACTCAGGGTGTGGGGATGGGAGAATTTCACTCCTGACCCACTAAACCTTACCCTGTGCGCTTGGCCCTTGGCCTCCCCGGAACCGCCCGAAGGCATTACTTCGTGGGAGGGGCCGCTGTAGCGCTATGGCGCCTCTCTAGCAATACTCTAACGATCTGGTCGGGCAGTAGGTAACTGCTGCTCGGCTCGCCACTGTCGTTGTAATACCGAAACTATGTGGGTGACCGCAGTCACCACCGCGCTCCAGTTCTCGGTGGTACCACACATCCTATGAACGATGTTGTCCGGACTGGTATCCGCTCCGCATATCGCTAGCATAGCGCTCGATACTGGCTCGAAACGTGGACAGGCAAACACGACGTGTTCGGCGGTCTCCTCGACACCAGCACATGTGGGGCAGGTGGGAGTACTTGCATGTCCGAACCTATGCAGGTAGCTCCTAAAGCAGCCATGGTCTGACAGGAACTGTGTCAGGTGGAAGTTTACTTCCCCATGGCGCCTGTTGACCCAGCTTGATACGGAAGGTATCAAGCGGTAAGTCCACCTCCCCTTTGTGGAGTTTTCCCACTCCAATTGCCATCTCGCGGTCGACACAACTCGCGCGTTGTTGCGCACCCCTCGAACGGTCCTCGCGTCATAACACGCCACATCCTCCTTAATGATAAGGCTGATTGGCATCATCCCTGCTATGACACAGACGGCCTCTCTCGAGATAGTGCGGTATGCACTGGCCACCCTTAAGCACATTAGCCTGTGTGTACTCTCTAATTTCTGCCTGTGGCAGTCAATATCCAGTACCGCAGCCCACGCAGGGCCGCCGTATCTGAGGATAGATACTACGACCCCAGCGAGGAGCCTGCGCTTACTGGCATTCACTGCCGAGCTGTTTGACATCATACGGGATAATGCCCCCACAGCCATAGACGCTCTCTTGCAGGCGTACTTGACGTGGCAGCCGAAGCTGAGCTTATCGTCGAGCATGACCCCCAAGAGTTTTAGAGAGCGCACAGACCTAATTGTGCTTCCGCCGACTGTCAACGTTGCATGCTGTACTGACATGCGATTGTTGACTACGACCACTTCCGTCTTGTGATGGGCGAGCTCCAGTTTCCTGGTTCTCATCCATTCCTCCACAAGCCTGACGCAGTGGGCCGCTGTCAGCTCTACCTCCTCGAGGGATTCCCCGCAGACTACCAGCGTGACATCATCTAGCATGGGGAGCACAAACAGTGAACGCGCTCGGCCGTTTCATCTCCGAAGCTACTTTGGACAAGCGGCTGGTAATTCTGAACCATGGCTCACCCACTCGCATCGACCCAGCCACAGGCAACACCTCAGCAATCGATTTGACCTGCTGCTCCGAAAGTGTGGCTCGCAGATTCACATGGCGAACCCTACCGGACACGCACAACAGTGACCATTTCCCGATAACAGTTTCTATTCCTGGGTGGTCATCCTCACGAACGACGCGGCGGAAATGGTTGTACGATCGCGCTGATTGGTCGTTATATGAACGTATCACCGCAGAAACTATCCGGCTAGATGTTGAATGGGACGTAGACAGCTTCACGGAGAAGATAATTGCAGCAGCAACTCATGCCATACCGCAAACCAGCGGCCGTATGGGGCCTAAAGCGGTACCATGGTGGTGCCCTGAAGCGAAAGCGGCGATTCGACATCGACGAAAGTGTCTTTGATCTCTGCGGCAGCTGCAGACATCTGATCCTGATCAACCTGCTGCATTGGCGAGGTTTCAGGAAACCAGAGCTGTAGCACGGAAGGCGATAAAGGAAGCAAAAGAACGATCGTGGGAGAACTTCGTGGCCAAAATTGCACCAAGCAGCACGACAACTGAACTGTGGCGAACGGTGAACACGCTACGTGGCAGCCGACAACAACGTACCATCGCAATCAAGCGATCGGATGGCTTCACCGATGACCCCGAAGAAACTGCGCAAGCGCTAGCCAGTTTTTACAGCGATAGATCTGCGACCTCCAGTTACCCTACTTCTTTTCAGAAAACTAAGGCAGCAGCTGAAAGAGAGTCCATAGATGTTTCGCCAAACACGGACGACGTGTACAACAGCGACATTACCCTAAGCGAACTTCTGTGGGCTCTCGAGAAAGGGCGAGCAGCCTCGACAGGACTTGACATGATAGGGTACCCAATGCTTCGACGTCTACCTTTGTCCGTGAAGATGACACTGCTAGAGCTGCTCAACCGGATCTGGCGTAGTGGAGAGTTTCCCACCAGCTGGCGAAATGCAACCGTGGTGCCCATTCCGAAGCCAAACTGCCTCGATACCGGACCCGCTGCGTTCCGTCCAATCTCGCTCACCAGCTGCATGGCGAAGCTGCTTGAACGCATCATAAATCGATGACTGATCACCGAGCTAGAGTCGAGCGGGCGACTCGACAAACGACAGCACGCTTTCCATGCCGGGCGAGGCACCGACACGTACTTTTCCGAGCTCGAGAGAACGCTTCCAAGCACAGACGAGCACTGTCTGATAGCATCCCTGGACCTGTCGAAGGCTTACGACACCACCTGGCGGCGCGGCATAATCCGCACTCTGAGGTCATGGAGAATACGTGGTCGGATGCTGAACATGATGAAAAGCTTCCTCTCGGAGCGAACGATCCAGGTATCCGTTGGGGGCATATGTCTCGCCTGTATCCGTTGGAAAACGGAGTTCTGCAGGGCTCTGTCCTGTCAGTGACGCTGTTCCTCATCGCGATGCAGCCCATCTTCCGAGTAGTGCCCAACGGAGTCTTCATTCTTTTGTACGTGGACGATATCCTCTTAGCAGTGCGAGGTGCTAAAACTGAAGGCTTACACCGAAAACTACAGGCCGCCGTCAAAGCCATCAACAAATGGACGAAAAGCGTTGGTTTCACTGTGTCGGCAACAAAGTCACATGTCTTCTAATGCAGTCCGAACGCACGACGGGATCCCGTGCGGGGATATCTCTATCGAGGGAACTCCCGTGCCGAAGACCAACCGGCTGAGGATTTTAGGTGTAACCATGGACCGAACGTTAACCTTCAAACCTCACTGCAATATGGTTAAGAAAGCATGCGAATCTCGGTTACGGATTTTACAGATGATCGGTGCAAAACTTCCACGTGGCAATCGGACTTCTCTGCTGCAAGTTGGGTCAGCCATAGTTACTGCGAAGCTGCTCTGCGGGATTGGACTTGTTAGTCGAGGAGTGCCAGCAACCTTGCAGACTCTCGCTCCTGCCTACAACAAAATGGTTCGCTTCGCTTCCGGAGCATTCGTGTCGAGCCCGATTAACTCGGTGATGGCCGAAGCTGGAACTCTACCCTTCGAACTGCTAGCAGAACAGACCACAGTACGCATTGCCATCCGAATGCTCGCAAAGAATCCAAACAGCAGCACCCTACCTCTGATTACACGCGC